GTCCATTGGGTTGCATCCCCAGTACTCGACCACACCTCTACCAGTTGATCCCATCGCACCTGAATCAAAAAGGAATTATTTTTATCACCATATCACTCCCTAATGTAGATTCTTAAACAACACCACACGACATCAAGACCTTCTTTTAGCTGCTGGAATTCGTCCTGTCTTCTTGCCATTACCTAGGCAAAACTCGAAAAAAATTGGCAAACCTATTGAATGCGCTTCATCCAGGTACAAATAAGCGCCATACTTCTTTTTCAAGGCGATCACTCCAGGAAGGTTACAAATAGAACCTTCCATCGAATAAATACCTGAAATTACAGCATAACATCTCCTTGGATAGTATGGATCTAGTCTTTTATCCCTTGGCGTTAGGCTCTCTTCGGAGGCATAGTAGAAGCTGCTCCACCTTTGTTTAATGAATTGTTAGCACTTCGGATTGAGTTGAATGAGCTCAGAACGTACCTTCGACGATGATTAGGATTTTCTTATATGGCCGATGTGTTTTGGGATTTCCGTAGGCAATCGCGTCACGCAGAATTTTCTCCAGCGAATTCATATCTAAAAACAAAATCTCGTTTTTTTTCATTATAACAGTGCTTTAAACCTTCAGCTACTTGCGGATTTCTTGTGCATTTTTCTTTTATTTTAGGTTTGTTTTCTACAACTTCTCTATACATGCGCTCACTTCTGCTCCCCTTCCTTCAACTTCCCCCACCTGATGTTTTTATTTGGGTTCTTTACTATTCACTTTTGCAAGTAACGTCTCTGTTCCGCGTTTCAGGGTGAGAGGGGTAAACCGGCGGCCTGGCGCACCACCCACGAACGGGCATCGCCAACATTACGTTCACGACAGCGGACCTCATTGTTCAAAATTCTGCGACCGAGCGGCAGCTGTGGTGTATTCATCATCCCCTTGCAAACCGTACACAATTCGATGTCAGCATTACCAAATGTAATATTCAGTTCGGCGAAGCTCACGATCGGTAGGCCCACATTAAATCGAAAGCTGAGCTAGGGTGAAATGGTGCCCCGGTATGTAGGTGGCAGCATAGAGTTGTTAAGTTGTCGCAAGAGAAGCGAGCTCGAATTCCACCTGGTGTCGAAGCGATGCTCAAAACTCGGTGTTTTGTCACAATTGAGTAACTGTGTATCCTTCAGAGTGCGTGTGCAGGATGACACGGTATGTTCAGTCCAACTCACCATTGTGCGCGAAGACCTTCGTCGATGCGCCGGATAGGCGACATCCAAGAATGAGAGATGCATGATTGTGTTGATCGGAAACGATTAAAGAGTGCTGAAATCACTATGATTCATTTTTTTATCAGTCACAGTACCGCCATTTAAGTGTTGAACTGATAAGTAGTTCAACACCTAAAGCGGCGACGTTGTGACTGATAAGAGGGCGATGAGTGAGAGTCCTCGTAGTACCTTGTCGACCAGACACGGAGCATTCATTGAGTTCGTTGCAAAACCCATACTGAAAACAATTGCGTCTTCGACCCGAAGGAATTCAGCGACAAGCTTCTCAAGTTCGTATTGAGATGTGGAGCGACCTGAAAAACTTTATCCTGATACACAATACTAACTTCTGGTACTCTAAAGAACAACTATGACGCTTCTTCCTCGCAAATAGCCAACTATAACAATAAAGCTTATTGTTAGGTAGAAACGATGTGACCGAGTTATTACCACCCCTAGTAACATCCCCTCTGAAGTCAGACTTTGTCTCGAAAATTTGCGAAACGTTATAATATTAGGTACCGGATATCTTAGTGTCGTTTTTTCACCACGAGTTTCGGACCACCAATATTTTAATTCAGAATCCGGGGAGTGAAACAGCATATTCATCGAATGACTCATTAGCACTTTCCCATTTACCAGTATGAGTGGAAACCTCGTACGATTAAAGCTAGGAATTTTTTGAGTCGAAAAAGAGAGGTAGGTCGGTTTTGACATCATCTGACAAATCATCCCTCTCACTTGCTAAAAAGTTAGGCCTGGACAAAAGAAGTATACAGTTAGTTAGAGTAGGGTCTGCACTGTATGGTGGAAAAGTTATAACTTACCAGCTCAACTGGACAATTTTTCCCGGAGTCTTTTTTTGCCACATAGGGTCAAAAACGCACCCTTTTTGAGCACACGTGAGTAGCAGATGAGCACATTTATTAGAATTTCTTGTGCAATCAACTTCGTTAAAGCGTTTGTGCATCATCGATCAGTCACTGCTAAGGTGTCCTACCATTTCAGCACAAGACTGGTGCAGCCCCGTCTCGACTGATTTAACTAGGGCCACCTTTTTGACGACGATTGCGGGCATCACTTCAAAGACTTCACTGTCTTTTGAGAAAACTGTGAAAAACCGATGAGCATTTTAAATGGTAGTATTCCCTCCAACAAATGCAATGTTGGTTTGGTGGGCGGAAGTTGTAGCTCTCAGCAAGAATTTTGAAGCATTTGGTACACACATGCGAATTTGCACACTGGACCCAGGAATTTTCAAAAAAGTATAAAAATTGGGGAAAAGTTAAATTGTGAACCAACAATAGAAAACAATAAGCAACATATTTCGCAGTATTAATGAGCAAAAAGGAGATATTGATTTTCCATAGCAATCGGCCCCAAAACTTCCTGAACTCAGAAAAGATATCTAAGATATCCGGTACCTAATAGTACTCCCTTCAGCCATCGAGGTGTGGATTTTCGAGGAACAGTGATTGTGAGATGTCGCAATTTGATTGAAGCCGTCTTTCTCAGGGCAAGTCCAAAACCACTATTATTAAGGGAAAGGATTGCAATCGTAATGTTCATCTTCTGCCATCGAGGTTTCTAGGTGGACTTGAACAGCGACCTGAAGATTGGCCGAGATTGTCTTCCTCAGACCCGGTCCACCTCGGAAGCAGAAGATCCACTCCAGGTCAGCAGGATCGTTATCAAGTTACAAATCATAACAGATCTGGGGCGGCGCGAAAAACATAGTTTCAACGATGCCTAGTCTCAACGAGTAGAGAAGTCGGAGATTGCAGAGAGGATTGCATTTGAATCAGTAGAAGTCGTGTGGGAAACACGACATCCACTCTGAATGAGAGATGCGGAG